ATGGAAAAAAGCAGGAAGAGCATGTGACGTGGGAATATACGGAAAATCAGTGGATTATGTTTCAATGAGTGAAATGATTATGCAAAGAAGGAACTTCAAATCGGAAAAATAGACGTAAAAACATTTTATAAAGAAGGATGGCGCCATGATTTTAGTCAAACAGACTTGGTAAAAAAAAAAAGTAAAGTGGGGAACTGTAATTTACTACGGATACATGAAGAAAGTATGCTTTCACATACAAGTAATAAACGGAAGAAAGAAAAATTGGGAAAACGGTTTTCCATAAAACTACCGATATTTTTTCAGGTAAGTTGAACGAAATTCACACGCCTATGGATTGAAATGATCGACTTTAACCCATCTGCGAAGGAAGTAAGTCCCCTCCGAAGGAAAACCGGTTTTCCGAACAAGTAAAATTTCCGTTGAAATTTTCGAGCCTTCATTGAATGGGGAATCCATTCTCACTCGTAATTTTCAGTACGAAAAGCGAGTTTTCCTCGACTCTGCATTGGAAGGCCTTTTTTCCCCTTTCAGTTAGTGAATAATATTCACCCAATTAATGAAAGCCTTGCGTTTCATCCGCTGTTAATTTTTTTTTTTTACTGTGATTTCCTCCTTATTTCTGTGCTATTTTTGTAAAATTTTTTTCGTAATGAATTTGGAAATTTTGGGGGTCTGTCTTTTTCGTACCATGTACCATACATCGATATGTATCTCGAGATGACATGTTCGGCATGCAATAATTCCCCTAGGAGAATAACACGATTCTGGGTAGAGCCCTCGGGGCAAAACAGAGAAAGGACAGGCCGTGGGGCCGACGAGTCGTGGTGCAGTTGCGTTGTCATGTGGGCGTTGTGCAGTGCCTGGCTTTCAAGGTCATCCGATTCGTGTGTCTCCAGGGAACACCCTGTCTTCTGGAACCCGTGTGATCGGTTGAAAAGTGCCTTGTGTGAGGCCATGCGTGTTTGAGTGCCTGTGAATGATATAACTTGCAGACTAAATTGTGGATGGGCCTTCTGTTTCCATGAAGTGGGAGGTACATAGTGGCTTGTGGTCCAAGCGAGGACATAAAAGAAGTGGAGAGGTGGGGGTGGGAGGGACGACGGATCGAGGGACCTCCCCTCGTCCTTTATCGTCCTCTGGGACTGGCAGGGGGAGGTGGTCTCATCGTTGACGCCTGCACCTCGAGCTTAGAGAATGAGTATAGCTTGAGGCGACACTGCGAGGGCGGGGGGAATGGGTGAGGGGGTGTCGAAATATTACAGAGACGTTTGGTGGCTTGTTATCAACAACACTTCCATGAGGCGTGCTTCGTGGCAGCGAAATCGGGAATCGATTCGTTCGGGGATTCGACCCAATGGGATCCGTCAACGTGTGTCTCGTCGAGTCCGCTGCTCGGCCATGGAGAAGTTGTTGATGTGCACACGCTAGGTGCAGGATCGACAGTGACATCTATATTTCGGCTGTCAATGAATGGGGTTCCGACAGAGTGGAAGCCTCTAGTTATACTCTCTATGCCTCGAGTGCGCCGGTCGCGTGGCCTTTTCGCTGTGAGGAGGCTGGTCGTGTTGCAGCTCTCGGGCGCCAAAGTTGAGCCCTTTGCAACTTTCATCGGCAGTGGGCCGCGTGGAAATGTCTGGCTCTTCACGTGGGCCATGGAATGTGAAAGAAAAGGCTCCTTTTACCCTCAGGGCATGTGAGGGCATAAGGTCGTGTTGATTGACCGATCATCCTTACCCCCGCCCCTCCCCTAGGAAATTCTAACCCACAAAATTATCCTTTGGCATTGGGAACCTTCATTCCTCGCGACATATGTAGCGCCCCTGCGTGAGGAATAATTAGGGGAAGGAAGTGAATGGGTTCAGTCTATTTCTAGTTTAGTTACTAAGGGATGACCAAAGTTTTGATGTTCCTTGGGTTGCAAATAAGCTTATTTTATCTGTTATCCCATTCTGCATTACTGGGCCGCAAGAAGCAGGTCCACGGGCCACACGCGACCCGCGGACCGCGGGTGGCACAACCCTGACTTAGGCGGCTTTGTCCTAAGGGTCTGGAGAAAATGTGAATGCGTGAATTGATGCCGAGTCGATCTAACTTTGTGGAAACGTGGCCTTCGGCACCAAGAAAAACTCTCGGAAATATGCGTCAGTGAATTTATTTAGGTGCGCCGTCAGGATCCTTCACGGATATTGCGTTGCAAGATTCAGGAAAAAGTGAATCACCATGGCCAAGTTGCGCCGTTAACGGACGAACGACTGCGGAGGACTCTGTCGCGAATCTGAGGAGTCATCGCGGTAACGGAGTCCAGGCACTGATCGAAGCGTACAGATAGGTAGAAGCCAAGGGGAAGTCCGCATTTTGTTTCTTACGTCCGACGAAGTGGAAACTCCAGCATCGTGTCGTTGAGAAATGAATGAAAAGGAACGGAATTCTCGCCGAGACAGAGTTCATATCGGTCATTGTTGGCGTTCTTCGCTCGTACGAGTCAGAGCACTGAGTCAGGTTATCGCGTGCACATGCTATGAGTCACTCGGGCGTCCTGCGTTGCTCCGGTTGAAGAAAGGGGATTCCTTCGCGTATCGTATCGGGTTACAGCGTCGAATCGCATGTCCCTGAATGCTCGGTTGGATCTCTTCGCAGGTGGGTGGGTACGACGGGGCGTCGAGGCAGTGCCTCAGCTCCGTGGAGTGCTACGACCCGAAGATGAATCGGTGGTCCCTCGTGGCGGAGATGTCTGCGAGGCGCAGTGGAGCCAGTCAGTTCCTCGATTTATTATCATTTATTATTTATTCTCGTGTCTTTAGGAGAGGTGGATTTTTTCTCTGCGGCCAGGTGTCGGAGTGCTGGAGGGGCAGCTGTACGCCGTCGGGGGTCACGACGGGCCCCTGGTGCGCAAGAGCGTCGAGACTTACAACCCGGACACCAACATGTGGGCTCCCGTTGCCGACATGGCGTTGTGTCGACGCAACGCAGGTGTGCTTAGAGTCTATAATCAATACGTTTCCTTCGTCTAACCTTTTTTTTTTCTTTGGGTTCAGGAGCTCGCTCTTCCAAGTCTTTTTTTTTGTGAGCTCAAAAAGAGCAGGTGCTGATCTGCAGTTCCATATTTTGCTCTGAATTACGTAATCAAGGAAAGAAAAGCATCAGATGTCCCATTAGCTAGGTTCTCTTTAAAAATAAAAGTTTCTCGTCTCTGCAAATTTTAAACCCTTGTTATCCGTTAGAATTAATGAAAGGGTCAACAGTCAACATTGAATGAAGCACTTCATGACTTCAGAGAAGGGAGTTGACAATACAGTTAGTTCTCAGAGAAGTTCATTCAATCATTCATCATTCCTGGAGAATGCAGTCTAATCACCAGAAAGTTTTAGGGTGGATTTTTGAACAGAGCACTATCCGATAATGCTGCTTTATTTCCAGGAAATAATATGTATTTTCCCTGGAATAAAACTGCATTATCGGATAGTTCTCTGTTCAAAAATCCACCCTTAGTTAATGGTAAGTCCTTACTCGGACCGTGTATAAAGGAGTCTCTATGAAGGTTCAAGTTCCAGGTCGGAAAAAGTCGAGAAGCATTTCTGCCCTTTAGGACATTCCGTGTCAAGGTCCTGCGTTCCACTTTTGTCCATATCCAGATATGAGATATGCATACTTCTCTTAATGATGCTTTGTGGGAGCATATCCTCCGAGTGCCTAGTCATTTACATTTCTTCCTTTTTTTTTT